TTTATTATTTCCGATTCATGAGATATATTACTCCATCTTCCTCAAATTTATTTATAAAACTGATAAAAGATATTGAAATGTTAACACTGTGTAAGTTATTTCCCTTTTATATTACAGATTTCCATTTAAAACAAGCCAACAAAAAAGGTTTTAGAATTCAAATTGATTTGGTTTGATATCAGTATTGAAATGTATTAACCCAAAAAATTCATATTGAACCATAAGATACTAAAACTTCAATTGTAGCCTGTTCAATTATTTATTAGCCTATAACAAGTTTAATTTTATAAGAAAAATCATAGTAAGACAGAACAATGTGCACTAACAACTATATTTCATATCATGAAATCCAAGCCATGCCTCTTATGTTTTATCTGTGTGTAAGGAAAATATTTCCATTGTGCCACTAACAATTTGAAGAATAAGGGAAAACAAATTTTTTTGGTTTTTTTGCATAAGCTGCATGAATTAATCTCTAGTTTTAGTGAGCTTTGTGTTTTTAAAAAAAATCTAGAGAATTAAAATTTATTTGAAGACAATGTCTAATTCTCAAGAGAAGTTCTTTAGAATGATGCCAAATAGATTACAGGTATTTGAACAAACACTATCAGCAGTAATCTATTAACCTCAAGAATTATGACAAACCCACTTCTGAAACAAAAGCCACAAAGTCCGATGTTGGATAGATGACAGTTGAAAAGAGAAACTCAGCCAAAGATGATAGAATCTATAAGGATGAAGAAATCTGATATGTTGTACCTAATAACCCAACCACTAAGTAAATTTGAGAAATATTAATGAAATAAGATAAACATAAAAATTAGATAGCTAATAAACAATGAGTGAATATTAAAAAATACTTAATGTAATCAGTATAAACAGGAGTAATAATGATGCTATTCTTGTCAAGAATTGGCATGCAGAAGATGGAGAAAGATAATTAAGATGAAGCAGCTAAGAAGTCAAATAAGTTAATTTCATATGCAAAGCACAAACCAAACAAGAGCTTAAACAGCAAGAAAATAGTGAGGCAAGTCGGGAAATTACTCTTGCTTTCAAGAAACAGTTTCAATATGGTTTCAATTTCTCTTACCAAAAGATTAATGTCTGTAATTTGGAGAGTTCAAAGCATTATATGACATATAAAGATGAAAGAAATTATTACCATTTCACAGTCAGGACATTTAAAGATGATAAAAGAAATGTAAAAGAGGTGAAAGAAAAGAAATGATTTCTGATCAGAATAATTGACAAGAGAACAACGAAATTCTAAGCAATTTCCTGTTATTCAAACAAAAGCTACAGTTTTAACAGTGATAACATCTTCTTGCTATTATTAGTATGTTATGTGAATGCTCTTATTAAGATGGTGGCCTTTTCTCAAATTATGATAATCAAGTAAATTAAAATCCAAGTTTGATCATTCAAACTCTGGTCAAAAATTAAAAGCTTTCTGATTATTGTAGTGGTCATCATGTACTCTGAACAAAACTTCCTCATCTACAGAAGAATAATCTAAAACTGTAATGATTCATGCTTATTTATAATTGTATTGGGTATAGTTTATAAGAAATAAACATGTGTTACCAACAGAGGAAATTTTAGCAATGATTTGAAGAGTAGCTTAATGACAATATAGCTAAGTTTCTTTGATATTTTTGTTCAACAGTAGACCATTGTTTAAGTGGAGCTGCTTAAAAGTTATTGGTCAGACTAAATTATGTTTATGCAGTCCAAAAATTTCAGTATCCCACCTCATGCAACTGACTGAAGGATTATTAGAGAATCAATTTGGCAAATTTGGTTATATAAAGGGGTAAAGTTAAAAATTAGAAAAAATCTACTTCATGTAAAGTTGTGTACTGTTTTGTGACAATATTTTTTTTTATTTGTTGATTGAAGAAATGCTGATCAGAGCAATGTTGATGTTTGGAATATAAAATGTATCTTAAGAAAAAAGTTTTATATACATCAAAGCTGATGTTCATGTTGTGCTCTCTTAAATAAGAACAAAGAAATTGTAGCTTACATTTCATTACTCATTTTACTTATGGCATTTACATTTTATCACTCATCAATGTTCTTTAACTGATTTGAATAAACATTTTGTTCAAATACCTCTAAAATCTTTTAGATCCCCCCCAAATATATCAAAAGAGATTTCTTGACAAGATAAACATCCTTCTAGTTTATACTACTTCCTATGAGAGACTAAATAGCAAATGCTTATCAAAATGTAAAATTACATATCATGATTCCATGAGCGGAAAGGTGCATCAAGAATGAAAGACAATGGATGAAACAGTATAAAAAGTAAAAGCAAACATGACACAATTTAACCATAAAAAAGTGGGGGAAAACCTGAGAAAACACAGGCAAAAAAGTACAGACACATAAGCAGATCTTTTAATTGAACTAATTGAGCCAATAACAACTACAGTTTGTGTCCTATTTGTAATTTAACTCGTTCAAAAAAATAGCTAATTACACAACTGGATAAGATTTAACAGAGAAACATGTAAAAAAAGAAAAAAAAAATTTGATAGCAGAGATTAAAATTCTTTGAAAGTTAAAATTCTAATTACAATTTCTAGCAACAAAAATGTCAAAAGAAACCCAAATTGTAAATATTCAGTAATACAATGACTTATTCCTTTGAATTTTCAGTCTTGAAATTTAAATATGGTGTCATGTAAAGAAAAAGAAAAAAAGAAAATTAAACATTCAATTTTCTATTTTTTGGTACCCTTTATGCACTTGTTAGCATCTCAATTTCATACAATATTAAAAAAATGTTTGCTAATCCCAGTAGAAAGAGTTGCAGGACTAAAAGATGTTTCTGAATATCTATACTGAAAAATTAACTCCATATATACAAACGAGGAAATGCAAAACAAAAATAAAGTAAATTTATTTTAGAAAGTGTTATAATTGTACATGTGATTAGAAATACAAATCAGAAAAATTGATGAGTAAAAGCACTCACATTCAGAGATATATATTGTTTGGACTGTTGTCCTCATCTTTATTGCCATATTCACAACGTTTCGTCCATTCTATGGATACATGGTAGCTGCTCTGTCAAACCGGGATAGAAGGGTACAAGAGGATAACAACACTCAGAAAACAGCTACAGTCTGCTTAGCCAATGTGAAGTGATAATTGGAAAAAATACAAAAGATATGTGGTCCATATAACATCAGGATGACCTTCAAAAGTGGTTTGACACTTTATAGACACCTTTTCTTAGTTACCCCCCACCCCCATAAAGGAGAACATGACTAGGAGCTAAGTGTATACAATCCCATGTAGCTGTGGTAAGAAATATAAAGGAGAAACAGGCCACCTCCTTAAGCTAAGGTTGCAAGACCATCATAAAGCCATAACATAAGGGGAAATAGAAAAAAATCAAGTGAAGCTAACCACATATGGCAAGAAAAGGGATGAGGTTGAAATAATAGACAGAATATCACTGGAAAATATGGAAACTTAAAGAATCAGCATATATAGTAGGACACAAAAATCTTCTAAGCCAGCTAAGCATAGAAATGAATACAATATGGAAACCAGTAATATGGAGTGCTAGAGAAAAGCAAAAACAACAACAAAAATTGCAAAATGAGCTCTGGTAAAAATGGTTATATAGACATTCAGTTTATAAGTCTCTAAAATTCATACACTGGACACATGGCCCAGTGGATAAAAGCATTGGATAGATCCAGTGTATCGATCTAAAGAGTTGTGAGTTCAATAACTGGTTATTGCAGTGGTAAATAAAAACTTGGAGAGTTGAATTTTTAGGGAGATATCTGGAAGAGGCATGGCACATGAAACTGGAACAATCTACCTCAGTGGATGAAAAATGGTTCAGTTTAAAATTCCAATCTTCTGAAGAAGGCCAGAATGTACAATGTCTGAAACATTGTGAATATGACTTTGGCAATAAAGATATAAATAATTACAATACCTCATCTCAGATAGATATATATAGATATATATATATATATATATTTATTCAACACCATCACTTGATAAGACACCAGAAGTGTTGAAACAAAATGGCTATTTTTGTAGTGATTTTTTTTAACATATTTATGTTATAATCTTTGAATAAATAATTATATTTGCTCTACTCTGTATTGGGCACTCTTTTAAGAATAGTATTTGTTGGTTATTGGAATTTATTCCGTATACACCAATCCTTTTCTTGGGTGTGTGTGTGTGTGTGTGTATATATATATATATATATATATATATATATATATATATATATCAGTTGGAAATAGAAGACCATAAAAATGTACCCAAGCCTTGTACTTAGGAAAATCTAATTCCAACATGAGAAATAAATTGCAATTGGTTTCTTATCTGTATAAATCATCCTGACAAAATGTTTTTGAAAAAGTGTTCAGAAATGAACTAATTTGCTTGTTGTGGGTTATCATAATGATGATGGGTTGGACAGAGAGTAGCAGTAGATGACATCATCCACTTGTATAGAATTTACATTCTGACTGCACATTTTCTTTTTAAATGCAACTTACCTGGATATTTAATTCTACCTTGAAGATAGCATTGATTAGTCAGTGTACTTTAATCCTTTTTGGTGGTGGGTGAATCAAAGAGAAAAAGACAGACAACCTTTTCAGATAAAGAACTTTCATACTTATATTTCGCTTATCTTAGGATACAGCCTGTAGTGAAAAGATTTTTTTTTATATAGTTGTGAACATCTAACATATTCAATGTAAAAAAATTATCATTACCCAGCATATTTAATTACTAAGCTTTATAAAAACACACAAAAATATATCAAAATATAAGACCAAAAGTCAAAAACCAAGTAGAGAATTTTCAATAAAATAAGACAAAACATACATACATACACATTAAAAAAAAAATGTTCTCTCCTGGAAAATCTTCATTTATTAAAAATGTTTGCAGAGAATCCCACAAGGGAAAGTAAATATATCTCAGTAAATAAATAGGCAAGGACTTACCTTCTTTGGGTCCATATTGAATTTCTTTTTCCCCATAGACATCTGTTTAGTCTTGGGATTATTTTTACTGGAAAAAGAAAAAATATTGAATCATTAAGAGATGAAAATAAAAAAATATATGGATAATAAAGAACAATGAATAAATCTTATACCTACCCCAAACTTATTCTTTTTAAGTTATCAAATATAAAGCAAATGTACGTAATAATATTGAAAAGTTCTCATCCCATCCTAAACCACTTAAAAATCTAATTTTTGGCCAGATTTTGAGAAGTGGGTTGAGCCAAGAAATTTTCAGTCACCCCACACAGATTTAACAATATTTCAAAATGATCAGAACAGTTAAAAGATATAGAGATAAACCAATTCTATATCTTAATATCCAACTCTATAATATACATATCTGTTGAGAGATTTAGATTTACTTTGTGTGTATCAATAACAGCTTAAATAGGCATATATATATATATATATATATATATATATATATATATATATATATATATAGATAGATAGATAGATAGATAGATACTAAAAAAAAATTATTTCTGCCCTTTGGCTGATATTTCAGTTTTCATAGGAGTTTACAAAGGAAAGGGGATTTAAAAAATTCCTTCTTGGTCAGACCAAGAACTTTTCATCACTTTTTTTTTTTTCCCCCCAATATATGAGAGAGAGAGAGAACAGCCTGATATCAAAATCTTTATCATTCTGACAGTTTTTATTAAGCTTATTGGGTAATGCAAAGTCTGCCTAAAATCAAGAACAAAGAAAAGTTTGAATTTTATCACATCTGGTGCTTCTGATAGAACAAAAAAACAGGAATATTGCTGAAAAGTTTTTTTTTTCACTAATTCATTTAATCAAATTTGAATTTATTGCTGAAAAGTAAATAGTTAATTCAGAAGTGGATTCTAAAGCTATGTTTCATGAAGTAATAATTATTTAGTTTACCAATGAAGATGAAATTTTCACACATGAAAATTTCTCAAAGAATTAGATTTGGGGGAAAACTTTATACAAAAATTAATGCTGAAACAAGAACTGAGCCAATTTTAAGGCATTTTAAGATAGCAGCTTTATTCTCTTAATTGCAATTTGGCATTACTTGAAAGCCTTCACTAAACTCTATCAAACTTGAAAGAAAATTAATAATCCAAGATGTAAATCTGATAAAGTTCCAATAACAAAATACATGCTTTAAAAAAAACATTTTTTTCTTCAAATATAGGAATAGTTGATACTATTTATAAATAAATTTAAGAATACAAAAGATAAAATTCAATGATGAGTAAAGACATTCATCAGCAAAATTTTAAAAAAACTTGAAGTATACGTTATCAGCTGCCTCATGAAGAACTAATAAAAGTGAACACTATGAGGTAGGATTTGTTGGTGTACACTGATAAATCTCCAATGTTGCCTTTTACTAATCTTAAGATTTGAAATCACAGGTTGAAAGAAATGAGCCTATGAGAAAGCAATGAACAAGACTTTAAATGAAGAGTGACATAAGTAAACTGATACTGCAAAACTGCTTACAATTTCCATGAAAGAAAATAAGCCAGTTTGTTTTCTTTAATGTTGATATAAGAACCCATGGACTATAAAGAGACTTGTGCTGTCTTAGGGTGTATCACTTTATGTAATACAACACCTCTTCAAGATTACTATTCTAGGCAGGGCTGTATATAAAGATAAATTTGGCCAAAAGAGAATAGAGATTGCTCTAATCCCTACCCACAAATAAGGTGAGTGATAAGCAAAATAAATGTCTTACACTTGACATTCAAATTACAATCAAAGTCCACTGGAAACATTCCAATCTGCTTAAACACAGTAGTTGCCAGTCCCTTTTTTTCTTTTTGCCTCTTAAATAAAATGACAAGAATCTCATACACAAATCTAACTGACATATTACATATATTCCCATATTATCAAGAATTACATACATTGTTCACATACAGTATGATTTAAATGCACATAAGTATAAACAAATATTGTCATATTTACTTCTATATTGCTTGTAAAACTGTGCTATATGATTCAACAACAGTAGCAGATTGTTCCTAAAGATCTTCAAGAAAACTATTTTGAGAGTTGATTTCACAATCCTTACTTAGCAAGTATTTATCATAAAATGGATTTGAGGGTAAATTGTAAGCCATTAAATTATTGCAGTTTGTTGGGATAAAATGAAAAGTGAGATTTTATAGTATTTATAAAACTCCGAAATGCTACTAATATCAATATGCCATAAAAGGTTTGATCAAATTACAAAATCAAACTTTAAAAGATTAATGTTTCAACAAAAATGTTTTAAATTGCTTTCATAAAAGAAATGGAAGGAAATCTGAATGTACAATAGAAAAAGAAAATAGCTTCCTTGTCACAATCATATAGGATATCTACATGAAAGCAAAACAAAGAAAATGTACAATCAGCCACCTTCAATTAAGTAAATTCAAAATGGTTTAGAATAATAACTTTGAAAAATAAAGTAGAACAATTGAACTTAATAGTCTCATATTACATACCCACTATCTGATGATGTCATTAGAGATAAAAGGTTCATTTAAAAGACAAATTTCCCATGAGGATGACACTAATTGCTGATATTTTGGTTCAATTTCTATCAATCAGTATGAAGACAAACAGAATTTGAATGAATAATTCCAGTTCATCCCCCCCCCCCAAAAGGATCATTTTCTAAATTATGGAAGCCAATTGACACCTACATACACTACAGTTCAAAAATTTGAAGCGACCCCTAGAATTAGCATGGGATGACCTTGACAGAAGAATGAAAAAAAATAAAAAATAAAAAAAAATAAAAGCTCTTACATCATTGAGGGAAAAAAAAAAAAAAAAAAAAGAAATTAATTATCAAACTTACACTAGAAATTTTTTTTTTTTTACAATGAATGCCAAAAATCTGTACTGCAGTAATCAAGGCTAAAGGAGACTATTTTGATGAGAAGAAGATTTAATCATAAAATCTTTTTTTCTTTTTGTCATAATAAAATTTCTAATAAAAAAAATCAGGTGTCACTTTTTTTTAACCATGTATAATAATTTTCTTATTTAATGTAAAAAAACAACTACTTTTAGGGCCAATTTAAAAAAATTACCAGGAGTGTCCTCAAACTTTTGAACTGTAGTGTATATGCTACACGTCTTTCTTACAATTAACAAGTATTAGGTTGTCCAGAAAGTTCATGCCAAAGAAACATGAGGTCTGGCATTATCCTGATGGAAACAACACCTTTCCTGAGTGTTTTTCTTGAATTGCTGCCTTTAATTCATCCAGTTGCAAACAGTACTTTTCAGTATCAATTGACTGGTTATTTGGCAGGAGCTCATCCCACCAGATACACAGTATGCATGAAGATGGCTAAAATTGTCCCATTTTGTTTACCCTAGGATCGCTCTTTACATTGTTGTAAACCAGGCATGTAAAACTCAGGACATATGGAGGGCCACATCGGCCACACCTGCTTACAGTCTTACATTAATCACAGCTTGTGGTAACTAAACTTTAAATACAAAATACTTACAATACAAGGTAGTAAAATTTAATCATTTTTATGTAGTCCTGGTGACTGACATCACTTTAGACAAACTATTCTTGATATAACAGGTAGGAATGTCTGTGTAGATCCCACTTTGATCAAAGATGACAAAATGTTCATCAGTTAATCTGGCTCTGGGAGACGTTTTTGTGTCCTTCATAAGTTAAAAATAACTGCTCAGAGACATATGTGGAACCAAATATTGCCATAATCTTTGTAGCAAACTTTCTGAAGTTCTTAAATATCTGAGGAAGGTATGAAAAAAAAATCCAGGTACCCCTACTTCTAGGTACTTTCCCTTGAGTGTTGAGTCAGTCTGCATTTCCAGTAACATCCTTCACTTTTGAAACATGCATATCTCCTTCATATTGATCAGAATATCGATGGTTTGTTTCATAATGTCTTTTCACATATTCTTTTGGCATCACAATGCAGTGGTTGCAAATCAGTCATCTTAACCTTAACAGTGGTACAAAAGTACTGTCATTCCCACTTTTCTTGAAACACACATTCTTCTTTTTAGAAGATGGAGTAGAATTTGACATTTTTAAGGCAAAATATTACAAAATTTTGAACATTTTCACTTTATATTTGTTCTTATTTAGTTGTCAAGGATGATCACATGATTAACCAGAAATTAAAAATAGTTGCTGACATTCAAAAATGAAAAAAGCCATTGAGATAAAATAAACAATCTAATCATACCAATTGAAAAAAAAAAAAAATTCTTACTGTTTTTAATAATTTGCATTACCAACAGACAAAATCCTCAATATACCATGGCTATAGAAACCTTTGTGAATGCTGCCAGTTTGACACACCTGTTGTCAACAATCCATTTCTAATCACCTGTCACAATTTGCTTAAAAAAAAGGGTGCATTTTCATTGTGTTTATACAACAAATCACAAAAGAAATATGGCCCAAAAGATTCTTTCTACTCAGATCATGTGGTACCCAAACATTGTAGTGATTTGTGTACCCAAGCTTCACTAAATGCTCATGGATGGTGGATTTTGATAAATCTAATGTTTCTGCCAATTCCCGCATTGTATAATGTGGTTTATTCTCAATCAATGTCTTGATTTGGTTGTCATCTGTAGTGGGGAGGGGGATCCTGCCAGAGCGTTCTTCATCAATAAGGCTACAGTCGCCAACTCTAAATATTGTGAACCACTTCCATACAGTTCTGTCAGCTAAAGCACCTTCATCAGACACAGTACATAGCTTTTTTGTTGTTTGTGAGGCATTTTTGCTTTTATGGTAAAAAAAGAAAATGCTTAAAATGTCTAAAATGCACCTTATAATCTTCCATTTTCATAGGGATGCAAAACTGACACAAGTAACTTTAAACTTTCATTCTCAATAGGTAGTTTGAAGTGTGCTCTAATCAGAAATGTTGATAAGTTTGACTTGGAACATAAACAACTAAAAACCAGCATGTACTTTCTGGACAAACCAATATTATCAT